TTCACAACGTTTTGTTGTGAAGTTTCAAGTGTAAAAAAATGATCTCACGGATCTTACGAAAACAAGCAGGTCTCACGTGATCCCCCCCAAGCACCCAACTACTTTACATTCCTGTTTTAAGTTTGGTTTAAAAAAAATATAAGAACGCCCTTCAAAATTAAGCGGGTACACAATTACTGTCAAAAAAATATTTAGGAAAGGACAATTGAATAGGTGTCATGCATCCCTACTTTCTTAATAGGTCCGCCTCTATATAACAATAACAAAAAAAATGACGATTTAGAAAGTGACGAAACAAAGATGGAATAGGTTTAGCGCCAATTCGATTCCTTCTTTGTGAATGCAAATTTAATCCAACTTCATATTTCCGGTATCAGGGACCACATCCCTAGTAAAAGACGAATGCCAACCAAATTATGGGACCAAATTGAATCCGATGTCACTATTAAATGTTTTACATGTCATACAAATATATTACATATAATTCGTTTAAACGAGAAGAGTTAAGATAAGATGCGTAAGAAGAAATTTGGACCATTGATCATCTTTAATCTCAAATTTACCCATGAATCATGTTTGATACATGGATTGGTCTAATGCATTTCAGTACATCTCATTCTAATATGTATGTAAAGATGAAGATCTCTTCTTACACTTCTCAAATTAACATGTATATATATATGATAAATAAAGAATCCTGCGAGTCTCCCCGCCATGTTGGGAATTTTACTTGGGCAAAGGATCGTGACAACTAAGTGGTCCTTGTGGTTCCAACTCCCAATCAATTTTGACAGTCACGTGTGCGACTATAAATAATTCCATTTTTCTATTTTCTTTTCTTTTTGGCTATGACAAGTACTTATTTTTTTAGTGATGTTATTTTCGGGTCGGACAATTTTTATCTTTTTATATCCAAAATTTCATTTACTATAATAAATTATTTACACATTTTATATATACATACTTTATAAAATATCAAAAATTATTATGTGACAAAACAATTTCTTATTAAAAACTATAACATATAATTTTTTATATTTTTTTATTGTCATATCAAAAAAAGCACTTATGACATTAACATTAATTTTTATTAAAAAAATCATATTTACAAATCCGTAAGGGTGCGTTTGGTACGTTGGACAGGATGGGACAGGACAGGACAGAACACAATTGTCCTATGTTTGGTGTGGTTTTATGTGGGACTAACTAGAACAAACTAGAACAAGGGTGGGACAAGGTTGTCCACCCTTTACCCATGGAACTAAGTAGAACAAGAAACTTTTTACCACTTTACCCTCAAAAACCTCATACGCATACCTTCGTTCTTCCCCTTAACTCTCCTCTCCTCCATCGCTTCCACCGCTCAACCGGCGTCCGGTGACGGTGACTTCCGATGGCCGCCGCTGCTGCTTCTCCCGATGGTCGCCGCCGCTGCTTCTCCCGATGGCCGCCGCCGCTGCTTCTCCGGTGGCCGTCGCCGCTGCTTCTCCGGTGGCCGCCGCCGCTGCTTCTCCCGATGGCCGCCGCTGCTGCTTCTTACAGCAACTACATCACGAATTTGAAGAAACTCTTCAAATATCTTTCATCTTATTTCATGCAAGTAAGGAATTATATTTTGATGGTGGTTTCGTAYTCGATTTCGCCAACAACTTGATTAATTGAAGTACTTATTAGGGATTTTAATGAAGTATTATGATTTATTTCGAGAGTTTACATTGATTATGATTGCTGAATGTTGTTGTTGTTGTTGTTGTTGTTGTTGAATTATTAGGGTTGTAGTGGTAGTAGGACCAGTGTTACCATAATGCATTTCGTAGTGAAAAAACACTAAACAGTTCACTGGGGGTAAATTGGTCATTTTAACCAGTTCTATCATGTCCTGTCCTGTCTTACCAAACGCTAAACAGCTGTCCTGTCCCGTCCTGTCCTGTCCTGTCCTGTCCTGTCTGCGCACCAAACGCACCCTAAATGTCGAACGAGTTCCACGTGAATCACGGCCACATAGTACAAGCATGAGCTTTTATTTTTATTTATTTTATTTAATGCATGTGATATTAATTTTAAATTTGTGAAATGAAATATATATTACGAGAAAAATGCGAATATTTTTTTTTTCTTGTCTGAAACATCAAATCTATTTATTTTAAAATCGATTTAAACAGAAAATTTTAGTTGGATGAAAACTTTGCCTATTTGGGAAAATATATATAGACCAGTTTTGTTGTAGAATTTTCACTCAATTTTATTTGAAATCAACAAAAGAAAAATGTCAAATTAGTCATCTGATAACCATCCAGTTATCCATTCAACCATTATCCAAATATTCTTCGATTAATTTATTTTCAAATTGCTTAAATCAGAATTTGTTTCGTGTGAGGTTTTGAATTTTTAACTTCTCTTGTGTTGGTTTTAACACATATTAAAATTGATTAATTAATTTGTATTATTGTTGAAGAATTGGATTGAATTATCACATTAGATGGATCCAATCCATTCAGATCGTCCATTGGATATCCAACCGAGTTGGTCCAATCATCCATTGAATTCGATAGGATCGGTTATCCAATGTTAATCGGATCGGATTGGTTGGCAAAATCCAATTTTCATTGGATGATTGGATCGGTTCGGCTCCCCTCACATCCATGGATGTCAACCGATGAATAGGCCTACATAAACTTAGGTGACTGGAGGCTATTGGCTATAAAAAATTCCGAAACCAAAGAACTCACATGAACCAAAATGGTTTGCGGGTTAAACTGTTCGGTTAACCAAATAAAGTAAATTTCAATTTCGATTAATTTTTTTATTACATTAGTTAATCGAATAGCAAAGTTATATTGTTATTTAATTTATATTATTTCTTTTAGATGAATTGGTTTGAACATTGTAGAAATAACATTAGGTGAATTGATTTATTTTTAAGCTAAAAAACAAGAAATTGACATATATATAAATTAGGGATCATGTGAGAAAAGTCTATTTTTGTGACACACGTGAGACACAATTTTTACACTTGAAACTTCACAGCAAAACACTATAGAAGTAAACTTCACAATGTTTTTTGTTGTAAAGATTCGACTTTTTTTTATCTTCACAACATTTTGTTATCATTATAACATGTAGATGGCCAAAAACTGGTAATAGGTTGGGCCGGGCCCAAACACTGTTCCCGTATCCGGAACCGACGTAACCGATCCCCACGTAACTGGTACTGGTCTCACTTCCGGTCCTGACCAAAACCCAAGGCCTGGTTAAGGTACTTTGTAACCGGTTATGAGGACTGGTCCTGAGCAAATCGAACCTAGGTATTTTTTTTAAAATCAATTTTCTACATAATTTTCTTTTTTGAAGTGTTTTTTAAATAATACAAAATTGTTATTCTAATACACCTGAAAATATGTAACTGGGTCAATTAAATATACTTAAGAATACGTTTTTTATGAGAATACAAGTCAAAATCACGAATTATAACAAGAATAGTGAACATTTGTGAGTTGGTATCTTCCCCTATACACCATACGACTTTTATAAAATGAATAGAGGGTAAATGAGACAAAAAAAAAACGATCAAATATGGAAAAAGTAGTCATATGGCTGTTAGGTATGTAAAACAATAATATTTTTGAATTATTGGGCTGGGGCCATAACTGTTCCCAGGCTGGGCTGGGCCGGATCTTCTTTTTTGACGAAAAATGTAACCGGTCCCACACCGCCGGTCCCAAACGGTCCCGGGACGGGACCATCCCAAGTCGGTCCCAATCTCGATCCTTCACCGTCTCGAGACGGGCCAGGCCCATTTGATCATCTCTAATAGCATGATCGTAAGTACAAACATAATAATACACGGAGAGAAACAACTGTCAAGCGAGATAGTGGAGGGTTTTGACGTCAAAACGGAATGGACTACTAACCCCCAACCCCCCCTATGGCCTATTCTCCTTCCTCCATGCCTGTGATTGGTTGTACATACGCAACGACATCACAAGTTGGCGTATCATAAACCATGGTGAGGGGAGTCGGATTGCAATCATAAAGAAAGGGCCGAGGTGAAGAATCAACGGAATCGACTCTAATGTAACGATAAATTTATTGAGTCATATTAGCATTACTTACGAGCTTTTGACCGACGGACTATTAGCGACGGAATACCTTTTTAACAACGAATCAACAAAAGAATTTTCTCTCACAGATACTTTTTATTTTTGTGGTGAAGTATATAACTTGTTAGGTTGTTAAATTTTCATTCCAACATACAACATACTGTAGCGCTTTTTAATTAGATAGAATACACATCAAAGTTTAACCAAACTATATATGTTTTAGTAGATCTATTTTGGAAATAAAATAACAATAAATACTAAATTACGTGCTAGGGCTGACTGGACTTGGTACGATATCAAGTTTTATTCTTCAATACCATGTATCAATCAATTATAATTGGTATGTAATATTCTATACCGTGTACCAATTTTTCTAAATTGATACATTGTCGGTACTGATTTTGTATCAATTTCAGATAACATATATGAAAACTTGTCATTTTATTCAAGTTTTAACTGATTTTGAATTTACAAGCAACACATATTATGTTTAAGGGTTTTTAATTGAATGGAAAAAATTTGCAAAGTATTCACATAAACAAAAAATTGGTAACACGAAACCTTAAAAATCAAGAAATAAATTTCATAATTAATTAAATTAATATGTAATTAAAGAAGTCAATATCATGATACTAGCGTGATGTGTGACTTTTGACATTGTATATCAACCAAATTTTTACACAACCAATCAATTGTAATTGATACCGATTTAATTGATACTACTGAATCACGTAGAATTCGAACGTTTTAGATTCAATTTTATTATTGAAAATAATTGTTAAAAAAAAAAAGAATACGAATTATCTTCCATCTTTAGTTTAATACCATTCATGAAGTTGGAAGCTTGAGAAGCTTTGTCTATATATCACACTCGATACCATGCTCAACCCATTCGTCAATCAATCATGTTCAAACCTCAACTCCACCACCACCACTCAAACTCCACCCAATCCTTACTCACACGGCGGCACAAGGTGTTCGCCGTCGCCGGGGATGGCAGCACTTGTGGTGGTGGTGTTGATAAAGGCAGCTCCACCCCATTCCTTTCTCTCAACAAGCTTCCTTTACCTATCAAACGCTGCAGGAGCTTCCATGCAGCTTCACGGTCACCGCCACCTGTACCAGCCATGGCCGCCGACCAAACGTCAAGCAGCACCAAAGTGAAAGCCGTTATCGTAGTCCAGGTAACCATGGGTGGCGTCATCTCCAGCCTAGATTTTACGAAAGGACTTGACGATATAACAGATTTGCTTGGCAAATCGCTTCTTTTGGAGCTTGTTGCTGCCGAGGTTGACCATAGTAAGTCTTCAGTCTTCACACATAATGATTTAATATAATATTATTAAATACAATTAAGCCATTAATTTTGACATAATTTATGTGCAAAGATTGGATTTCTTTATTTGAAACAAACTATTTTTTTATTATCATATTATTATAAGTGAGAAGATTTTAGCTTCTTCAAAAATTTCTTATTACCGGTTTGACACTGATATAAGTTGTTTATCCAAACATTCAAAAGTGCTTATTACCGGTGCCACACCGGAATAAGTCAATAAGTTATTTTTATAAGCAATCACAAACACCCCTTAAGTCGCGGGTTTTGGAGAAAATCAAAGTTACGACGAGAAGAATAAAAAAGAATCTATATATATAATTGGATTAATTCTAACTGAAAGAGAATTATTATATTATTATTTTAAATGCAATTCATAGACTGTTTTAGAATTAAGAAGACCCAATAGTTCAAGTCTTTTCTTACACTTCTTATATTAACTCTTATTCTCACAACATCCTTGGAATATGGATAATATATATTGTTCATATGTTACAAAATATTATCATTAGGATGATAATTAAGATGATTAATTAAGAGAATTTAAACCTAACAATTTAATTATTTTTGTTAACTTTTGCAAGTAATTAACCGTTTAAACTATCATATTTATTACACAATCTTTTTGGGTAAAAAATCATTTAAAGAGGAAGATATGTATTTTGGAAAACATTTAATCATTTAATATCCCGTACTTATAATTGTACGCTTTTGGAAAGAAAAAAAAGACGATGGTTGATTTTAGAACCGGATGTCAAATACAAAAACTGAAAAACTGAGTATAAAGATTTAAAGCCAATTTTTATCTTAAACTAAATTAAGAAAAATAAAAAGGTAAAGATTTGGTTTAAAATTAAATCACTTATTTTAGAAAAAATTATCGAACCATTATTTAAAAAAAATGGTTTGCTTATATTATCTTATTGATTTATGATAAATAAATGCATCGTTAACAAATGCTATTTCTTTGTTTTATTCAAAGAGACGGGATTGATGAAGGATACAATTAGACATTATGCACATCGCTTAAGCTCAGACTTAAAAGACGTAAAATATGTGGCGGAATTTGAGGTACCGAAGGAATTTGGTGAGATTGGAGCGGTTTTAATCGAAAACGAACATCACAAAGAGATGTATTTGGAGACGATTAAACTTGATGGCTTTTCCAACGGCCCCATCACCATCAATCCTAGTTCATGGGTTCATTCCAAATTCGATAACGCTGAGAAACGTATTTTCTTCACGAACAAGGTTTGCGTTTTATCCTTCTTAAATTAATTATACTCCTTAATAAAATATTTATTTAATAATAAATTTATAATTATAAAGTCAAGAGGATAGGCAATGCATGGCCGAGGATGAAATATATTGAAATGGTCCCTTCTCGTAGGTTGATGAATTGACGTGAATGTATACGTAACCATCTAAAACCAACAAAAATATTATATGGAGATTGTCTTTTCTATCACATGCTTTGTATATAACTTATTTAGGAGTCGTTGATATCTATCTTTTTCATTCACGTATCGTTATTTTCAGCGATGGATTCAGATTTTTTTTGAAACAACTGCATAATTTGACTATTAGAAATAAATACAGGGATTTTTTTTTCTTCAAACGGTGACACCATTTAACTATAAGGAACAAACAAAGAAATTTATTCAAATGGTGACTTCATTTTACTAAGAAAATGACACTAACAGAATTCGAATCCGATTTCGGGTGAAATAAAAGTCTTGCAAACCAGCTCTACCAAAGAAAACTTGTTCTCATTTTAGTTTCAAAATATATACGGTGACACTTTTCCCGAGCCTAATTTTTTTGGATGAACAATATGATGGCACTGACTTAAAATATTTTGAGAGTGTAAATGTAGTTTTGGAGTGGTTTGAGCGATCAATATTTGTGATTGTTGTAATTTTATGGATTTTTGTCTTTGAAAACTGGTATATAAAAATTAGTTTATAAGATATTAGCTACGAGACTATTTCAAATAAAAACCATATAGTGTTACATATCATACAAAGAAATCTTAATTATTCGTGTAATTTATCAAATCAATGTCAATGATCGGTTCCAAAATTTACTTTCAACTTTATCTGTAATTGTCTAAAAAATCAAAGGTCGATATTGATTTGTACAATATATAAATTTACATGGTTTACGTTTGAAATTCTGTTAATAGGAGCTATTTTGTTTTACTAATATACATGAAAATTTTGAGTAAATTATGAATTTGGTCCTTGTGGTTTGGTGATTTTTAGGAAAATGGTCCCTAAACTTTATTTATTATAGATTAGGACTCGTCGTATGTCGTTTTGTAACGAATTGGTCCCTCTATCTACCACTCTGGAAGAGCTAGAATTCTAACCTTATGTCAGGACGTATGGGCCAAGGGACAGTCTCAGGTAGACAGTTTCTATGAGACGTAGGCCTCCCAAAAGGTAACAGATGTGTGCGAAGGTTTCCTCGCCCTTAGGAAGAGCGCAAAATTCTTTTTCCTTCCTGCGCTAGGAGATTAGATCTAGCCGTAAGAAGAATTCTTGGGCCATCCAGTTTCTCTGTTAACCTTGAGAGCATTTTCATCCTTTTGCCTTTTTTCGTCTTTACTTGAGGAACCAATTTCATGAAGCCCACACAAACTACAGGGACCAAATCCATAATGAAGTCTAAAAATAAAAATATTAATTTTTTATATTTTGAATTTATTAAATTAATTAATTATTATACTTTAAGTTTATATTAATAAATAATATGTATTGTGTGTGCGTATATGCATGTATGTTCACACATATGTGCACGCGCGCACACACACACACATATATATATATATATATATATACATAAAGAGATAGAGAGAGAGAGAGAGAGAGAGAGTGTGTGTGTGTGTGTGTTATACATAGCGAGGCTCAACCATTTAGAAGAAACCACCTCCATCAACCATTAAACTAGTTGATTCAACGAGTGTAATTAAGTGGACGCTTAGAATAATCTTTTTTAAATTAAGAAAAATGTCATCGCCCATGTTTTTTTCGAAAAAAATGAAATATAAACAAAATTCGGGCGAAATAAATTACACTACATTGATTTATTTTTTCATCCATTTTTTTTATAATTTTCCGGTTTTCATTTATTTAGCGTTTTCCTCTGAACTCAACCCTCTCTCTCAATAAAAAATAAACGAAAAACCTGAAAACCACAAAAAATGGATGAAAAAAATATATCAATATGGATGCCAAATTAGTGAGAAATATGATTATTTTTTGGTGAAATTTATTTTGCTCGATTTTTGTTTATATTTTGATTTTTTTCCAGTACAAAATAGGTAGGACAGAGGTTTTTTAGTTTAAAAAATATTATTGTAAATGTCCATTTCTTCATATATATTGAATCAATTAATCTAATGTTCATAGATATCATTTATGTTCTAAATCTCACTATATATATATATATACACACACACACACACACACACACTAGAAAAGTACACATGCAATGCAACGAGATACTATTTTATGGGGTTTTGAGAAAAAATGTTTTTATTTTATTTTTAAATGAAATATAAATATGAAGATATTATAAAATTAAAAAGATAATCAATATTATTATCAAATTAACTATTTAGAAGTTATCGTTTTTGTGTAATTTATTTAATTCAATTTTTTATTATAATTTAATTGAAGTTTAATAACGAACTAATTATTTTTGATTAAAAAAATAATTTCTTTAAGATGATAATTAAGTATTCTGTTAGAACTAAATAATTATCCTAATTATATTTTTGATTATTTATATTTAAAATGAGATGTTTATTCTATTTGATTATGTTTATCTGCAGTTAGTTACACGAACTTAAATATGAAACTTTAATAAGTTGTACCTATACACAATTTAATTGAAATATTGAGTTTCAAGTAATATGCATCAATAAACAATACTTCATGCATAAAAAATGATTTTTAACAGTTTTTGTCAAATGTTTTATAATATAGTGTGTGTGTGTATATATATATATATATATATATATATATATATATATATATAAGTATAATAATTACTTAATTTTAATAAACTCAAAGTATAACTTTTTTATTTTTTAGACTTAATTAAGGATTTGGTCCATATGGTTTGTGTGGGCTTTACGAAATTGGTCCCTCGAGTAAAGACACAAAATGGAAAAGGACGAAAGTGCCCTTAAAGTTAATGGAGGAACAGGATGGTCGTTAGAAGGAGGGATCGATTCGCAACAAAACGATATACGACGAGTTCTAATATATAATAAATGAAGTTTAGAGACATTTTCGTAAAAACCATAAAACCACAGGGACCAAATCCGTAATTTACTCTTTTATTTTTATTTATTTTAAAAGACAAAATTTTGGAGTTGGTTTAATGTTTTGTATTTGCGACGCAGTCGTACCTACCATCGGAAACTCCGAGTGGGCTGAAGGTTTTCCGAGGGAAAGATCTAGCAAGCCTTCGAGGCGATGGTATCCTTGATGGTCCTCGCAAAAAGCATGATAGAATTTACGACTATGATGTGTATAATGATCTCGGCGATCCTGACAAGAAGCCGGAGTTGGCTCGTCCGGTGATTGGGACCAAGGATTTCCCTTACCCTAGGCGTTGCAAAACCGGCCGCCGCCGCACTAAATCAGGTATCCATCATCTTCTCCGGGATAACCATCGATACTCCCACCGGGAATATGACGATCCATTAAGGTTTATCAATCATAAATTGATACAAGTATCCAAGAAGATTAATTGGAACTCAATGAATCTGGAGTAATATCATAAATAAAAACATGTATATATTTATGTAAATAAATTTATATTGTGCTCGGTGGATACAATAATTGAATTCAAGTTTGTATACGTTCGCCTATGGAATTTGCGTTTACCTAGACCATCTCCAACCTAAACACAAAAAGAACACCAAATATGATGAGCCCATTAATAGTAAAAAACACTCAACTCTAACAACAATTAAAAAAAAACACCAAATTTATAGACCTCATGTTAAAATAACATATTTTATTTATTATTTTTTTATAACAATAATTATAATTTGTAAATACACATTGTAATAATAAATAATTAGTAATTAATTTATTTAATGAAGACTTGTTAAAATAAAAACGACAATTTTTTAATTAATAAACTCTACATCAAAAAGATTACATTAATTCAAATAAAAC